TTCCTTTTTGTAACAACCAATCACAGCTTTTAGAAGACTGCGTCATACCTAGCAACGGGGTCAACCACACCTCCTCACTAGGATAAAAGTTTCTGTCCCCTCCTTGATCAGAGTTGCTCTCAGAAACTTCCTGAATCACTCTTAAGCTAAGATTCCTTGCTAGGAATTTTTAGGCTAAGTTAGGAGCTCTCTGAGAGGACTGTGAGAATCTTTGTGAATACGGGCCCTGGCTCCTGGATGAAGTCTCAGCTGCAGTCTCTCTCCATGGTCCTGAACCTTTCAGACCATCCATCTCTTTTACACTCATATGCGTTGGCCTCTCTCCATTGTGCTGAAATGCATGAAACAGTCCAAGTGTGTTTTCTTCTCTGTCCCTCTCAATTTGCATGAATTTCTGTTCATTTCAGCTGCATATTGATAAGTTTATATTCACTTTGGCATTTTTTAAAATTCCAACAATTTGAATCTGTTGTAGCCGAGTCCAAACCTGAATATTGCCCCTGTTAGTGTTAGTGTGCTGTCTGTCACAAGCCACACACACACAATGTTGATAACTTGTATACCTTTTATGATATTATTAATCAATAGGTGGGGCTGAAGTGTCCCTGGGGAAGACACTGAAGCCCATATTCCTTCTGATGTGTGTGTATATCCATGGGGAAATGAAAGCATCATCTATTTGCTTTGGAACATTGGATTCTTTGCTTCTGCTCTCACAGAGAATACCTCTTCAATACTCAGCCACTATGAGCTACTCGTTTTAAGGGTCAGCAGTCAAGTGTCTGGTACAATACCTTTTTAATGACACCAGTAGATACAATAGAGTGAAGGGTAATAAGATAGTGACACTTGTCTGCAGACAGAAATACAGGAAGCTGTCCACTCACCAGACCCTATATTTTACTGAAAAAACAAACACACCAAAAAAAAAAAAAAAAAATATGACACCACTTATTGACGACTCCATATATCTCTTCCCTGGCAGTTTAAGATCCATTCATACCGTGATTCATGTGACTCTTATGCTGCAGCTACGTGGACTAATGACCCACATATGACCTCAACCACTCCATGAATTATTCAGGATTACAAGAAGCAGATTTTAAGAGAATGGTCAAAGGCTATTATCTACAGACTGTCTTAATAAAAGTTTCACCAATGCAGTTGGCCTTTTGTTAGACCCCCACTAAAAAGTAAAGCACTACCATCAGTTATTTTATCCATTTTTATGTATCACACAAAAATGACCTCGTTCTCATTGGTGGAACAATTTGTCCGTAATAAAAGAAATGTAGATAATTCAATGAAAATCAATGTGGCAGAGCTCGTTCCAAGAAGACGCAGATGAAACAGAAGGACTGAGCCTATTTCTGTGACCCCCCTCAAGGGCAGACCTCGCGCTTCCATAAATACCACTAAGCCCACCTGAGATGGCCGGTCAGGGGCCCGGTGTCAGAGAGATGGATAGAGCAACACTAAAGAGCACTCTGGCTCCACTTATCCATGAGGATGTGTATTCCCTTATTCCCATCCCCACCCAACACTTGGCATGCCATGTGCCTCCAAGCCTCGCCTTCTTTAGTTGTTGTTAATATTACGTCAATGTGTGTTCCCATATCTGCCCCTGTTGTATATTCTGAGATTCCCACATAAGGGCTATCTCTTTTGTTTTGAAAGCTACACTGATCACTTATTTTATATTAACAATGGTTCAAATGACTGTGTGATGTGAAAGGGGTTATTTGTAGTGATGCACCCGCAGAGAGGTATCACCCGACTGTACAGTTCCCCTCAGCTGTACAGTGTTTTTAGTAACTTTCAGCTTACTGTTTTGGTTTAACAACCTATGAAACTTATTGTGTGGTTTACTCTCACCCAACCAAAACGCCAGAATAAATGTTGGCATTGTACATTGCTGCAAACCATGGATATGAAGGTTTCACATGTTAAATTTGTACATTTAATTTGTAGCAATTATGTTGAAATTTTCTCTCTCTTTACGGTTTAGTTTTAGATTGCATGTTGTGACGGCTGTGATTAACATTTGGCTAGGTTTAGGCACAAAAATCCTTGTTTAAATTTGGGTTAGGAATACATTATGTTTTGGCACCAATACCATGTCCCAAACTACTGTTAAGAAATGACTGCTTTTGTCGCTACAAAAAAAAAAAGAAGAAAAACAGGAAATGTCTCAAACTATCATTAAAAAATAGTCACTTGTCGTACAAAAACGACAGGGCATGTCCCAAACTATACCTGCTTTTGTCATTACCAGAACAGCTGGACAAGTCCTGAACTACTATTAAAAAATACTCCCTTTAATTGCTACAAAAACAATGAGAAATGTCCAGAACTATCATTCCAAAATACCTGCTATTGCCGCTACAAAAATGGCTGGACATGTCCCGAACTATTGTTAAAAATACCCACTTTCATTGCTACAAAAACAACAGGACATGTCCCGAACTATCGTTGAAAATACCTGCTTTCATCGATACAAAAATGGCTGGACATGTTCCAAACTGTCGTTAAAAAATACCCACCATTGTCGCTACAAAAATGGCTGGACATGTCCTGAAGTATTGTTAAAAATACCCACTTTCATTGCTTCAAATAAACAGGACATGTCCTGAACTATCATAAAAACAATACCTGCTTTTATTAATACAAAAATGGCTGTACATGTCCTTAAGTGTCATTAAAAAAAATACCCACCATCGTGGCTACAAAAATGGCTGGACATGTCCCAAACTGTCACTAAAAAAATACCCACCATTGTCGCTACAACAATGGCTGTGCATGTCCCAAACTGCTGTTAAAAAATACCCACCACTGTGGCTACAAAAATGGCTGTACATGTCCCAAACTGCTGTTAAAAAATACCCACTTTCATTGCTACAAAAACAACAGGACATGTCCTGAACTATCGTTGAAAATACCTGCTTTCATCGATACAAAAATGGCTGGACATGTTCCAAACTGTCGTTAAAAAATACCCACCATTGTCGCTACAAAAATGGCTGGACATGTCCTGAACTATTGTTAAAAATACCCACTTTCATTGCTTCAAATAAACAGGACATGTCCTGAACTATCATAAAAACAATACCTGCTTTTATTAATACAAAAATGGCTGTACATGTCCTTAAGTGTCATTAAAAAAAATACCCACCATCGTGGCTACAAAAATGGCTGGACATGTCCCAAACTGTCACTAAAAAAATACCCACCATTGTCGCTACAACAATGGCTGTGCATGTCCCAAACTGCTGTTAAAAAATACCCACCACTGTGGCTACAAAAATGGCTGTACATGTCCCAAACTGCTGTTAAAAAATACCCACCATTGTCGCTACAAAAATGGCTGTACATGTCCCAAACTGCTGTTAAAAAATACCCACTTTCATTGCTACAAAAACAACAGGACATGTCCTGAACTATCGTTGAAAATACCTGCTTTCATCGATACAAAAATGGCTGGACATGTTCCAAACTGTCGTTAAAAAATACCCACCATTGTCACTACAAAAATGGCTGGACATGTCCTGAACTATTGTTAAAAATACCCACTTTCATTGCTTCAAAAACAGCAGGACATGTCCCAAACTGTCACTAAAAAAAAATACCCACCATTGTCGCTACAACAATGGCTGTGCATGTCCCAAACTGCTGTTAAAAAATACCCACCACTGTGGCTACAAAAATGGCTGTACATGTCCCAAACTGCTGTTAAAAAATACCCACCACTGTGGCTACAAAAATGGCCGGACATGTCCCAAACTGCTGTTAAAAAATACCCACCATTGTCGCTACAACAATTGCTGGACATGTCCTGAACTGTCGTTAAAAAATACCTGCCATTGTCGCTACAAAAATGGCTGTACATGTCCCAAACTGTCAAAAGAGCAGTGCATGCAAGACGGCCCAAGAATCTCACAGAGCTACAAGCCTTTTGCAGGAAAAATGGGTGAAAATCCCCCAAACAAGAACTGAAAGACTCAGCTGGTTATGAAAAGCATTTAGAAGCTGTGATACTTGCCAAAGGAGGCGCTGCCGAGTACTAACCATGCCGGATGCCCTAACTTTTGCTTCAGGCTTGTCCTTTTTATTTTTATTTTGAAACGGTAAAAGATTAAAATTTAAAAAATATTGAAAAGTATGTTTCATCTATAACTTCATGCCTTTTGGAAATCAATTCCTCTTCTTCTTACTTTACTACTCACAGTAAACTAAATTTTGATCAGGGGTGCCCAAACTTTTGCACGCCACTGTAACACTATTTACAGAATCATAACAAGCGTGTGTCACCTTAATCTTAGGTAATTAAACTATTATTGTCAACATGTCATATGACATGACTTAATATGCTCTTCTATTTAAAGATAAAGCAAGACGTTAATGGATTAATTTATTATGGAGCAGAAAATGTATACAGAAAATAAAATCCAATCGTAGAAGCCAATGCTTCATAATATTGATACGTCTCTTTGGCACAGTCTGCCACAGGGGGAATCAATTTCCTCAACTCCATTTACTCATTGTAGCGTATGCTGGGGATCATTTATCGGGGGGGTAGTAATTTAAAGTTTGGTTCCGCTTCATAATTTCTCTTTTTGTCCTGTTTGGTTCATTTGTTTGCCCCAATAAAAGGCAAGAAAGTAACTAACAAGCGCTGCTTTATTGTGAGGCTGCAGAAAATACAATTACTCCTTATAGGAACAAATCAGCATGATTCACAATTCACTAAAGCAGACACTCAAAGCAAACTCTTGAATTAGACGTGTTTACTCATGCTCAGTCATGGGAGGCGGGGGTATATATCCTGTCAGAAAGATTGATGACGGGTGCAGCCGGAGCACTCTGTGTCCAGTTAACCGTTATGGAGCTTTATGGAGAGGCTGTGTTAAAGACCTAAATACAGTTTACCCATGACAACTGTTTCTGGTTCCTCTCTATGTGTGTGTGTGTGTGTGTGTGTGTGTGTGTGTGTGTGTGTCCAGGTAAGAGTCCGTCGCAGCAGTTCACAGCTGTGATCCATACGGTTACTCCTCTGCAGTCCCAGATCTCCCCTGTGGTGAAGCTCATCATCGCTGTAGCCAAGTCCAAGTTCTGTGCACAGGTGGGAAGTGTGTCTCCATCCTACTGTGGTGTGGTGCTGGTTTAATGAGATGATAATGGATACAGTGTTAAATACGACACAAAGCAAAGTATAAAAGATATCAAAAGATGTCAGTATTTGTATTAATACTGTATGTATCACTCTTTATTCTTCCTTTTGTTTTTCATTTCTTCACCAGTTTGTACCTTCAGTTAGTACAGTTTCATGAGGGAGTTCAGCTATTCCTTATACACAACAGGGTATGAGGTCCACTGTGGAAAATAAATGTGTGATTTCAAGAAAAGGTCACATTATTTTAGTACTCCAAAACAAAAACCTGACCTAAAGATTCACCAATACATGTAAGCACCTTAATCATATTGGTTACTGCAATGAAATGCCAAGCGAGGAGGGACATGGACAGGATAGAGTGTGCAGACACAAACCAGCACTGTCTACCAGTCATAAGAAAGAGACGCCACCTTTTGCAAGGAAAAATAGTGACTGTACAGTACATCGAGATAGTCAGGAAAAACTTCAACATGCACACATGATCCTATCCAACCATAACAAAGTCACCTCTGACTCATGTTAACCACAAGGAATCCAAAGTTCAGGCACACACCAGGACACTGGGATGCAAACTATTTTATTAATAGATTACATTAACAGGTTTACCTTTTAAAATATTCAGTTAGAATAAATAATATTAAAATAGATAATTAAATTGAATTAAATTAAAATAATCCCAATGCAAACACATTTCAAAAAATCAACAGCAGGCAAAAGCAACTGTAATTCTATCTTGTAAAGTGTCAATAAAAATGTGACATTTAATGCAATAAAATTAATATCAAAGTAAAACAAAGGCTGAGTAGATCTAGAATGTGCACATTTACATAAGATACCATAAATATCATAGAGTACAAAGAATATTAATATTCTGATCATAAGATATATATTAAAAACTAGTAGAAAAAAATATAGACACAAAAGACAGATGGTGAGCACTATTTACAGAGTAGATATGAAATATACCTGTCTTGGTAACTTAACCTTTTATTGTCATAGCATTCTCATAATATTACTTTTTCCTCATAATATAATACAATTGTGTTCTCAAGATTTTTCACATAAAAATAGAGTTAATTGGGCAAAAATTACCCCTTTTTTTCAGTTTTTTTCTATTTTCAGAACAGCAACACAATTGAACAAATACAACAACAACAACAACAACAAAACACATACATTAACACAAACAGCACAGACTAAACAAAAGCATCCATAACATTAATGATTTTGATGCCATGTAATTTTTTTTATTTTTATTTTTTTTTTCTTCACAGTGGCCCTTATACCCTGCAATACTGCCAACATTGTGTTTTTTAATACACGTAATTGCTTGACTTCTGTGCATATTATATGCAGCAAAGGAAGACTCGCACACAGAATAAATTAAGAATCAGACTGCAACATGCAAAAAAGAGATTTTTCAAAATCCAGACTCCAGTGTTAATCTTTTATTGTTCTATGTGCGAGTCTTCCTTTGCTACATTACATAGACATTAACTAACACGCCTTTACAGTTCATCATAAACTGATCACATAGGAGAGATGTGCCAGGAATAGACATGACAATAAGCACTAAAGAAAACTTATATAAGTGAAAAGTGCTTCAACACTGAGCTTTATTGAAATATATATCAGCCTTCCTATAAATACAGTTCCTGTAATTATACTGTATAATAGCAGTTGAAATAAACTTTGTTGGTTTCATGATCATTTCACTGAATATTATCATTTTATTTTCATCATTAAAAATACCACAGCTAAAATGAAAATACCTTTCATATACAGTACAGGCCAAAAGTTTGGACACACCTTCTCATTCAATGTGTTTTCTTTATTTTCATGACTATTTACATTGTAGATTCTCACTGAAGGCATCAAAACTATGAATGAACACATGTGGAGTTATGTACTTAACAAAAAAAGGTGAAATAACTGAAAACATGTTTTATATTCTAGTTTCTTCAAAATAGCCACCCTTTGCTCTGATTACTGCTTTGCACACTCTTGGCATTCTCTCCATGAGCTTCAAGAGGTAGTCACCTGAAATGGTTTCCACTTCACAGGTGTGCCTTATCAGGGTTAATTAGTGGAATTTCTTGCTTTATCAATGGGGTTGGGACCATCAGTTGTGTTGTGCAGAAGTCAGGTTAATACACAGCCGACAGCCCTATTGGACAACTGTTAAAATTCATATTATGGCAAGAACCAATCAGCTAACTAAAGAAAAACGAGTGGCCATCATTACTTTAAGAAATGAAGGTCAGTCAGTCCGGAAAATTGCAAAAACTTTAAATGTGTCCCCAAGTGGAGTCGCAAAAACCATCAAGCGCTACAACGAAACTGGCACACATGAGGACCGACCCAGGAAAGGAAGACCAAGAGTCACCTCTGCTTCTGAGGATAAGTTCATCCGAGTCACCAGCCTCAGAAATGGCAAGTTAACAGCAGCTCAGATCAGAGACCAGATGAATGCCACACAGAGTTCTAGCAGCAGACCCATCTCTAGAACAACTGTTAAGAGGAGACTGCGCCAATCAGGCCTTCATGGTCAAATAGCTGCTAGGAAACCACTGCTAAGGAGAGGCAACAAGCAGAAGAGATTTGTTTGGGCCAAGAAACACAAGGAATGGACATTAGACCAGTGGAAATCTGTGCTTTGGTCTGATGAGTCCAAATTTGAGATCTTTGGTTCCAACCACCGTGTCTTTGTGAGACGCAGAAAAGGTGAACGGATGGATTCCACATGCCTGGTTCCCACTGTGAAGCATGGAGGAGGAGGTGTGATGGTGTGGGGGTGTTTTGCTGGTGACACTGTTGGGGATTTATTCAAAATTGAAGGCACACTGAACCAGCATGGCTACCACAGCATCCTGCAGCGACATGCCATCCCATCCGGTTTGCGTTTAGTTGGACGATCATTTATTTTTCAACAGGACAATGACCCCAAACACACCTCCAGGCTGTGTAAGGGCTATTTGACCAAGAAGGAGAGTGATGGAGTGCTGCGGCAGATGACCTGGCCTCCACAGTCACCGGACCTGAACCCAATCGAGATGGTTTGGGGTGAGCTGGACCGCAGAGTGAAGGCAAAGGGGCCAACAAGTGCTAAACACCTCTGGGAACTCCTTCAAGACTGTTGGAAAACCATTTCAGGTGACTACCTCTTGAAGCTCATGGAGAGAATGCCAAGAGTGTGCAAAGCAGTAATCAGAGCAAAGGGTGGCTATTTTGAAGAAACTAGAATATAAAACATGTTTTCAGTTATTTCACCTTTTTTTGTTAAGTACATAACTCCACATGTGTTCATTCATAGTTTTGATGCCTTCAGTGAGAATCTACAATGTAAATAGTCATGAAAATAAAGAAAACACATTGAATGAGAAGGTGTGTCCAAACTTTTGGCCTGTACTGTACGTGATGGTGTACTTCCTCTGATAATTAGGTGTTCTTCAATTAACCTTGAAGCCTGATGCTTCTTAAAGATGAAAAATGCATCCTGAAATAGATCCTACTATGTCGTCATCCTTTACTTTGTGAAAGATATCAGTTATTTTAAAAAAAAAGTATATAAAATCTCTATGCAGAAACCAAAGTAGAACCATGTTGATGGTTATATAATGTTAATCAAGTCCATGCACTTCTCCCATACAGATTGTGATTTTATGGAACTACGACAAGCCTTTACCTCCAAGGAACAAGTGGCCCTCCACCAGCGTGCCTCTCACTGTCATTGAAGGACAGACCAAGGTAACAGCTGCTGGCTTTTTGCATCCATTATGTATTAAAAGACACTTTGTTGCATAGAGGTGAAGATATTTATCTCGGCTTTATAAAAACAGATATTCTCAAAGGTATTTTGTTGGCAGTCTACACCAGAAATGAAAGCATGGACCCTTTGGCTTCTCGCTGCTTTCTAGATACATTAAACCTGAACTTTAAGACACTAGAAATGAAGGATGAAACACGGTTTTCGATCAGAAAAACGCCTGCAGGATCTTAGGAATTTTAGCATGTGAACGCTTGTGTGTCTTTGTGCACTTGTGTGTTAATATCCTGAAGAGTATCATATAAATGCCCTTCCAAACCTCATTGTTGTGTTTTGTCTTTACACAACTGTCAGATAAAGTTCAACTGCGAACTGATGTTATTGCAGTAAACTGGAACAACTTTTAGCTGCAGCTGAAATGATCTTTACAGTTCAGCTGTGTTGCAAATACTTTTTTTAGATTATGTGAAAGAAACAGAGCACAGACTCTGTAAATGTAAACAGACAGTTCAGCAAATGGCTTAAAGGGTAAGTCCATTTTTTTCCTAATCTGGATCCTATTTGTGTCTAAGTGACTGACTATATGTGTCTAAGTGACTGGAAACAGGGCTGCAGCCAACATCACTCAAACAGGCTGTAATGTAACTACTGTGGACATGTTCGCACCATCAATGTACATTCACTAAAAGTGCTTGTTTTTGTCACCGACAGGTTCAGATTGTTATTATAAATGTCTAACACCATTATGGAAAGGATCCCTACAGAGGTAAACCTTTTTCTGAAACAGTAAAACCCTTTTTGTTTCAACCAGAATCAGCCTGAAATTGCTATCAGCAAGCCCACCAGACTCCATTTAAATAAACAGTTATTTTAGTGTGTATAAAGCCAGTATATTTTCACATCTTACAGAGTGAATTAAGGCCCAGTCTAATCCAAAGGTTGAAACAGGCAGATACTTGCAATGCAACATTCTGCAACGTTCTAGAGAACCTGACGGATCACGCCACTGCAACAAGATGAAATGGTGTATCATCTCTATGCAACAACTCTCTGTACTTCTGTTCTGATTTTCAGCTTTTCAGGCTTATTTTGTGGCTGAAATCATTTGTAGCTTATTAAGATATGAATGAGGATAGTGATAGTGAGATACTGGCTACAGTTGCATTTGTAGTAGTGATGACACAGCGAGAAAAAAAACAAGTATCAGGTGGACTGCATTCACAGTAAACACGGCATAATAATATGAATAACCAGCGCCAATTAATCAGTCAATGAGGATGTGTGTGTGTGGGGGGGGGGGGGCATAAGCGCATACAGTGAGCAGTAGCAGCAACCCCCCGTCCGACACCAGCACACCATAAGGACGGAAACTGAGGGCTCAGCAGGGATGCAGCATACACACGCCACCTGCTATCATTTTGACTTGACCAGAAGACTTCACTACAAGCCGACTGGCTGTTGAAACAGGTGACAGGCTTTATGTTCTAAAACCAAACGCCAGTGATTTGACCACCTGAGTTGCAGGCGACACCATTTGAGCTCAGACCGGACAGTTCACAATGCTGCATCTTTTCTCTGCAACATTCTAAAAGGGATTCATCTCGTAGCGAATCATTGGTCTGAAGTGGGCTTAAGGGTTCATTTCAATCAAACCAGAGTTGGTGATTGCTGTAACAGTGGAAAGACCACCCAAGCTGTTTTTTTGTGAGTTTTGTTTTGTTTCTGTCGACTTCGAATGAAGTGTGTTTTTTATGATGACAAACTTAAGGTTTACCTAAATGGAGTCTGGTGGGATTAGCGATAGAGTTTCGGGGCTGTTTCTGCTTAAACAAAATGAGCTTATTCTTTAACTAAAAGGTCCACCTCTGTAGGGATCCTTTAAATAAGTTGTCAAACACTTAAAATAACAATCTGATCCTGTCAGTGGCAAAAACAAGTGTAGGAGCCATTTCATAGTTTAATTGTTTATGTGTATGTGTTTAGTTTGTTTTTTACCACTAGAGGAGGGAGGTCTCACTCTGATGCTATTTTTAGTTAATCACACAGGTAATTGGCAGCTGCACGGTTCTTACCGTATGCCAGCATTTTGTTTCAACCCAGCAACATAATTTGGTATGTAACCCTTTTTGCAATAAATGGGAACGTCACCCAAAAGAGAAACTTCTTCTGGACAGTTTAATTTAATGGACTGGAGTACGTGTTAAGAACATTCCTGAGCCACCGCAGGTGACTAATTAAATTTTTGGTTTACGATAGTCACCACAACAAGCACTTTCAGTGGATGTAAAAAGAGGAATGGTTACATGGTAGCCTGTTTCACCATTGCCATCTGCAGTGCTCTCACTCAATACTGGACCAGTTTAAAAAAAAATTGGTTTCCATTTGTCACTTAGTCACAAAACTGGAGAAAATAGGGTCCGGGTTGAAAAATACCAGAGTTACCCTTTTATTCTAAGGCTTGCACACCCCAATCTCAAATCAGGGGAGGAACACGGATCAGCATCGAGGTAAGATGATTGCCCCAACATAAAAATATGTGTTCAACAACAATAATCCAGTTCATCAAACCACCATTATAACACACTGAAATGGCTGCTTTGCTCAAAGCTCTTTTAAAGTGAGAAGCAAGTCCTATGCAAAAGAGTGATGTAGATGAGTTCAACTTGAAATCAAGGAAAAGCCTTAACCCCTGTTCAACATCACAAGCAATAGCATGATTGCACTCTTTCGTGTAAGCTTTTTTGTTTAGTGGCAATGCTTTAAAAGTCAAAACACAAGGAATTCAGATCAATAAAACAACAATCATAAAACATAGAAGCTGCTTCCTTAACAAATCAACTGTGATCGCACTATTGGGTGATTTGCCCAAGAGGACAAGAGAGGGTTGGGGTGCGACAGCATGAGCGTGATCACCATCAGCCTTTACTTTGGAGGTTGGAATGATCAGGATTCACCCAGTCTCACAAAAATGTGAAAATAGTTGAACTTGAGAGAAATCAGCAAAATCTTGATACATAAAACCTCAAAATAACAGACATAGAAAGCTAAAGTAGAGCTAAAATGATCCTGTGATGTGTATTTTGAGTATTGCTGTAGCCACCGAGAGGAACTCTGCACCATTTAGAGCTTCATTTCATGATAAATGATTCAGGAAATTAAACAAAGCACCCTTGGGAACGCCAGATGTTCAGACCCTTTTGGGTTGTTATTATATTAAAACCCAAAGAAAAACAAGAGTGGGCCCTGATTAAGGCTCACTGAGGCTGAAATGTATTAGTCAGTTTTAACTCTTCTGTCACTGAGAATGTGAGGCTTTTATTAGCTCTGTTACTGCCGAGTGCCTCAGACTATTCTTGTAAGTGAAGAGTCCATCGAGCATGTTTGTTTGCTGCAGACAGTTCTGTAGCAAGTGGCACTTATAAATACTTCTTTTAGTCTGTTGTCTGCTTACAAGTGTCCACAATGTTTAGATTTTTCAAAAGCTGAAAAACTCTTCTTGTCTGTGTTCCAAAGTGAGCTCAACATCAGTAGCAGTATCTGCTGCGTATGTACTGAAAACACTTTTGAACCAGTATAATCAAATGGATTTAAAGACTCTGATTACCCTCACAGGTGTTTTCAATTATTTTAGCTGATTTAACCTCTCCGCAGGTGTGCATCTGACTGACATCTCCCTCACTGTCTTCTGTTCACACCTGGTAGGGTGGAAAATTTTACACCTTTCCCAAATCAATGTGAGAGGAGGTTAAACTATTAAAAGTGAAAAACACCTGTGAAGGAGCCCAGAGCTTCATCCTGCAATCTGTCTAATACACTGCTCTCACAGGAAGCTTTGAGTTGTTAAATGCAACTTTTGACTTCAATAATAACAGCGATTCAGTTTTGTCTTCCATCTGCTTCGGCGGAGGTTCGGGGCATTGGGGGCAAAGTCTTCCCATGGTGCATCCCACACCCCTCAACCTCCCAAAATACACTTTCAGGTAATAGAAGAAAATAGACAGATTAACTTTAAAGCACTCTAATGTTCTTTTGAAGGTCAAGATTAAATGAAAAATGCCTTTTTTAACTCCTTTATATGCAAGACTCCTGCTGATATTGTGCACCTATTTAATAACATATGAAAAAAAAATCGATTTCTTTGTTATATTAAAATCCAATCACATTTTTTTCCTGTAAATTAAAATATGACACACCAACATGTTTCTGTGTACCTTGATGACCTGGAAAATGTGCTGTGGAGGGTGTCTATGCTTGTCTTTTGACCCCTGCAAGGTTAGGCCACAGCTCTGCCCAGTTCGATTGCTCACTACCTGGGTTGGCTGGAGCCCCCCTCGTCTCTGCTGTAGTGGCCTAGGTTATGAAGAACAAGCTGGGCTACAACAACTAACCTTTTGTCGGTCAGGATCAGTGTGGCTGGGTCGATGTTAAGTCCAAACAGCGTGTTCATTCATCAGGCCCTCTCCACTGTACCCAAAAAAATCCAGTCGAGGGTGGAGCCTGTGTAGGATGGGTGTAGGATGTCAGACATGGGAATCTACCTCCCTATATACTATAGGTTTTGCATGTTTTCGGGTAGGCATGTCCTGATTGACTGGCTACATTTATGCATTTTCAGTGTGCAAATGTGTGCTCATGTTTACAGCAGTGTTACCCAAAGAGTCCAGTAGAGGGCTCCAGCTGTGCTAATAGAACTAGGGTTACAATATTGTAACCCTTGATACAGGATCTCTGTCTAGATTTTATTCACTTTATACAAAGTAATATCTATGACTTCTCCTCAATTTGCACATTTTACAGTGGACTGCTTAAGCCACTATATAGAGCAGTGGTTCCCAACTGGTGGGTCGTGGTCCAAAAGTGGGTCGGGGTCCATTCTGAATGGACCGCGAATGACTTGCTAATGAATCAGTTTTGTTAAAAAAAAAAAAATACTTTATTTGGAAGTACAGTGAATTTCCAGCACAGAGCTTTTATTCTGAGG